GTCACCTAGGCTTCCCCTCCCAGACTTGTCACATTCAATTTAGATTCTCTAGCCTACTCCTGTATGCACACCAGTCAAGCCTTGGAGTTGAAATATCATGGGCTCTGGGATCTATTGGACCTGAGTTCAAGTTCTGGTTCTGTATCAGCTAGCCATGTGACTATGGGTAACCACGTAAACTTTCTGCATCTGAGCTTCTTGCTTATACAATGGGAACTGTGAGCACCAATCTCACAGAGTGAGATGGGATGTCTTATAGAGGAAACAGGCTCATCTACCCATGTGGATTCCAACAGCTTAGGGGCTCCCCTCCATGCCTGCTGTCCTCTAGACCACAGGGACATGCCAGAAGCCTAAGCTGATCCTTATCCTATTTCAGACATTAGCATCACCAGATCTATCAGCATGTTAGTTTTACAGGCCCCCTGCTGCCCCACCCTGGCAAACCAGCCCACTCACTCTGAACCCAAGGAGGCAGAATGAAGGGAAGGCACTGTCTTTTCTCACAGTGATGAATAATCCTTTGGAGAGAAACTGTCACTCAGGTCCTTCATGGACCTCACGCAGCTACCTCAACCATTTCCACCAACATCTGAAACAAACTTCAAAAACCACTGTGGAATAAAGGCATTGCAATCCCCTCGAAGGGATGGAAGCAAGAGTTATTTGCAAAACAGAATTGCACAGCGAGGCACTGAAGAGGCTCACGTTTAGCTGTGGGTTTTTCTAAGGTAGCTTTATGGGCTGGCAGGAGGTGATGGGGGAATTTGGCCATATTCCCAGAGCCTGGCAGCTGATATGCCAAATGGCCCTTTCTTTCAGGGCCCTGAACATTCTTCCTGTTTCCTGCCTGGATAGCAAAGGCTGCCCCTCCTGCACTTAACCTCCTCCTGCCGCCACTCAGCCTGTCCTTTTCAGATTCTAAAGATCAGTCTCTGACCACCTCTGGCACCAGCTTCTCTGGTAGCGTGAAGCAGTGGGAGAGGAACAGATTTCAGACACCCACTTTGGTTCTGAAGCAAAAGCAGTTCTCTCCTCATGCTCACTGCTCTGCAGAACACAGAACAAACTGTTTTAAACACAGAACGAGGGAGGCAGGGAAGTGTGGGATTCTGGGTGTCTGCTCTCAACTCTGTGTTTCAGTCCCACATGACTGAGGTATCACTCTAACGTTCTAGAATGTTCCAGAGCTTGACTGAGTCCTCAGGGTGAGATCTGACTCCATGGGTTCCAAAGCCTGATGTTTAACAATGTCTGATAACAACTTTCATTTCACTTACTCATTCACAAAGGCTATAAAGGACACTGACACCCATTATCTCTTTGATTCTAACTCCCCAAGAGATGAGGCATTGCAAGTTGTTCTAACACTCATGGATACCATTTCTCATAAAGACAGAGGAGGAGAGGTTAAGTGATTTTCCTAAAATCCATGTGGCCCCATACTGACAATAGCTCAGTTATTGCAAAATGTCATGCAATGTTTCTTTACACACCACAGTGGCTCTTATTTCTGGCTCCAAAAGAAAACCACTTGGAAAGTTATTTAAAAATACCAATGCTTGTGTCCCATGCCAATCCAACTGAAACAGAATTTCTATAACTTGAGTGTATGAATTCCAACACTGACTTATGCTTTTCTGTGTCTTATCTCGATGTCAGGATGTTATTCAAGTTAGTGTCTTCAAAGTCTAGCACAATGTCTGACACACAGTAGGGGCCCAATAAATATTTGGTGAGGAAATAAATGAGCAGGAAGTTCATCCCCAGGAAGCATGAGGGAACTGGTCATTGTTATCAATACTGCCTTCATTTCCATAGCTTATTTTCCTTCTTCCTATGAGAGTGGATACTAACAAAAGGGATAACAGTGAGCCCTGGCTGGGTGGCTAAGTTGGTTGGAGCACTGTCCCATACACCAAAATGTTGCGAGTTCTATTCCCCATCAGTGCACATACCTATGTTGTGGATTTGATCCCCAGTTGGGTGTGTGGGAGGTGGTCGATCAACGTTTCTGTCTCATATCTAACTTGTCCGAACTCACACTGCTAGTACCTGGCAGGGCCAGGGCTCCAGACCAGGTGATCTGAATCTTGAATCTGGATGCTTAGCTGCTGGGAAAGTGATTTCAGCTGTGCAGAATAGGAAACAACTGTGTGTGTGTTCATGTGTGTTGAATAACCACCACTCAATCTCCCTTTTTAAATGCTCACCCAAGGATATATTTATGGATATCAGAGACAGAAGAAAGGGGACAGAGAAGGAGAGAGAGAAACATTGATGTAACCAAGAAATATCAATTGCCCACCTCCCATGTGCGCTCCAACCAGGGATTGAAACTGCAACCTGGGTAGGTACCCTGACTGGGGATCAAACCTGTGACCCTTTGGTGTATAGCAGACACTCCAACCCACTGAGCCACCCTGTTAGGGCCCATTCAATCTTTCTTTAGGCACCCAACCAGAAAAGAAAATCCCCCAGAAATGAGAATCGATGTCAAAGATCTCACATCAATTGGCAATCAATTTATGTAGGAGACTGGGGCTGAGAGGGGAAATCACACTCAGTTGTCATTTCCCAAAAGCACATCAGGTCTATCATCCACAAACACAATATTTCATCTCAAGCAACCTCACCTCTTTGGGCCATTTTTTGACTTTTGTTCTATCCTTTATTTTTCTTCTATCAGGGAGGAAGAAGGGGTCTCTTCCCACATTTACTACTGCAGTTAACCACCGTTCAAGCTCAGAGGCATCTATTATTTCTTTATCACCCCACAGGTTTATTTATTTTTCCTTTCCCTATTTTTACATTCTCATGTTCAGACTATCAGCAGTTCTCTCTCAAACTATAAAGACCCTACTCCAGCCTTGCCCCTCTCCTCTCTTACCCCTCTTCCACACCGCTAATGGAGCACTTCTTAATATTCAAATTTGAGGATTGTGTTCCCCTGCTTAATTTTTTTCAGTAGCTCCTACAAGCTTCACGATAAAGTAGAAACACATGCCAAACCCATCACAGTGTGGATTCAAGCATCTGGGGCTCAGCATCTATCTCAGTACCTGAGAGAGGTCAGGTACTCCATAAACATGTAACAAATTGAATTGCTGAATGATCTAATAAAGCCAAGTTCTTGAGCTTGGAAGGAAAAAAAAAAGGAACCTTCTTATTTTCCCCTGTCCATCATTTTCCCAAAACACATCAGCCCCATCACCCACAACACAGAATTCCACTCCAAGCAATCTCCACTCCTTGGACCATTTTATGATTTATGTTCTATCAGCCCAGTTTGCTTCTCTCAGAAGCAAATCCACCAGCATTCTTCTAAACTAGCCCAATACTGCTTTGCTCTGCTCTCTCTCTTCCTCACTCTTCAAATAAGGAGTTTAATATTAAGCTTCTGGTGACCATGGTGTTTCCAGCTAGGGAAGCTATCCAAGGTGGCTGGGGTGTTCTGATTCAGAAACCAGGAAAGGAACACCAATTTTAACCCAGAGTATGTGCACTAGTCTCTTGGAACAGAGTGGAGGGGATGGGTATTAGTAAGATAATTTATAAGAAGAGCAATACAATTTGGGGATCAAGGCATGAAGCCATGGAGAGCCACCAAGCCTTCAACCACATTTGAGCCTAGGCTTCCAAAAAGCACCTACTGGCCACATGTGACTATTTAAATATAGACTTAAAGTAGTAAGTCAAAGTAAATACTTGGTTTCTCAATCACACTAGCCACATTTCAAGAGCTCAATTTTCTAAACTTTAAAGATGATGCTCTCCTACCCCTGCCAGGTTCATCCCTAAAGATGCCAATTCAGTTGATCTGGGACAGGGGCCAGGATTTTTTTTTCCACCCTGGGTAAGTATAATGTGCAGCCAGGGTTGAAAACACTCATCTAAACCTTCACAATCCAACCTGGTAGCTGTATATCAGCTCATTTGGGGAATTTTTTATGCTTACAGATTTCTAGGCTCCAGGTCATCCCCACTGAATCACAGTCTTCACAAGGAGCCTTAGAACATGCATTTCCCCAGCATATGCTGATGGACAGCAAGATGTGGTACAGCTAAGTCCAATTTCTCTATTTTCTAAGTGGGGGAACTGAGGCCCCAAACTTTGAATGACTTTCTCCAAATCAGTGATACTCCATGAACAGACACAGGGCCTCTTGCCTCCTAGTTTGGTGCTCTCTTTGCTGTGTCATGATGCCATCAGGTATGAAATGTTTTCTATAAGGAACAAGGGGTTTATAGGAGGGACACAGTCTTTGCTAACATCCCACCTGGGATCTGCTTCTTACTGCAAATGAGTTATTTAACTTATGCTTCTATTTCCCCACCTGAAAAAAGTGGAATAATAGTAACAACCACCAATTTAGAGGGTCGCTGTGCATATTTTCAGAGATAATGCACATTAAGCACTTGGCATATGGGAGGTACACAGTCAGGTCGAGTTGATTTTATAGTGGTGGTGATGGTAGCCTTGACTTTGTCAAGCCCCAAGTCCCACATCCATCATGGACCTCTCAGTGTCCCACTTCCTATTTATTCCTCCCCTTGTGAATTTTCAGAATCTTTTTCTTCACCTCCCATCCCTCAGCCCTTACTTGTGTATGGTTAACTAGTTGCTGAGAGGCATGTGTCTCGCCTGACACTCAGAGTAGAATTCTGAAGGGCAGGGCATCACGCCCTTCCGAGTTCTCCAAACTTTGCATGGTGTTGGGCCACTCTCTTGGGAATGAAACTAAGAATAGTATTCTGAGTCTGCCACTCTGCCAATGGGCCAAAAGGAAGACTAGTGCTTTATGTGTTTGAATGAACCTGCTAGATGTACTGCTCTACAAAGAAACATTCATCTACTGATTGCCTTTCATTGATTCAGTGAATTTAGCAAATTTGGTCACATATCAGGCATTCTTCAGGGGAAGTGAATCTAGGGAAGAAGGCTACCAAAGTGAAGGTCCATGCTTTTATTGATTCTGTTCTTTTCTTTTCTCCTATGCAGATGTTTCCTGCATGCCTTGTCTCCTCAGTCATTGTCCACAGGACTCTGAGAAGCTGTAGGAATATGAAAGCACACAATGAAGGCCCAGCTTTCTCTCCAACATTGTGGAAAGGACTGTACATCATGGGGCAGAGCCCTATGCTTCTCTGCGCCACTTGGACAGACCCCTGAGAGGAGTGACCTGACCTCCTGGGGGTACCCACATTGGATGAAGTTTCTGTTATTATGGGAGGAGATAGACAAGGAAAAAGGAAATCAATACATAGAATAGTTTTCAGGAAAGCAGATGATGCAATAATCCAGAAGTGCAGTGTAATGTAGAGGAGCTCCACTTTAGATCAGTCAGTTGGCTACATTGGTGCTTATTAAAAGAATGCCAAGGAAAAGTCAGCCAAGGAAAGCTGAGGGGTAGAATGTGGGTAAGGAGAACTATCCAGGCAGAAGGAACAGCATGTGCAAAGGTAGGAAAGGGTTTAGCAAGTTCAGGGAACAGAAGAGAGGTCAGAACAGCTGACATTTAAAGGAGAGCGGTGAGAGATGACCTAGGAGAGTAAACAGGTTGTATCATTCAGTGAGTGTCCTGTGGATCATGGAAAGGGGTCTGAATTTAATTCCTAGGTCAATTTTATTCCAAATAACTTCTCTGTTAAATTCAGCATTAGTGTCTCCCAGCAGGGGAGCTGGGAGGGAACCTGGAACTTCAGACATGTTGGGGTTTCATGTGAGCCAGCCCTGTTCTTCCCTTTGGAATTCTGATATGTGCTCAGAGGGCATCCTACACTGAAGATACTGTAAAGCATGTAACTGTTGGCTATATCATTTAGTCAGTTGGTAGCCTAACCATGAATAATAAAGCTAGAAATTCCATGTCTACGTGGATAGTCCAGACTTTGTCTCAGTTCATCATCAAGAGCCAAGCTCTCCTTTTACAATGCTACAGGAGAGATGCACAAATGTATGGAGAGATGTATTCCTTGACTCCAGTTGCAACTAGTTTAGGACAGTCCAAAATCCTCTGCATTATTCAAGACTGCATGATTGATGCTCTTGGCCCCAGCCTGGCTTTCTGGATCATTAGCAGAGCTGGCCAAGAAGTAACACCTGCTGAGATTCAGGCCCTTATTTTTATGCAAGGACATAGCAAAGGTGGAACCTGGCTTCATCCAAGTGCTCTCTCAACCTGCAGGTGAGTGCATCTGACTCAAGTCTTCCAAACAGGGTTGTTAGCAATTACAGATTGCCTGAGACTACACAAGAGCATCATTTTGTTGTTGCTATGTTTTATTTTGTTTTTGGCCAGCCCCAACTGTAACTAAGATACTGGCCTTGCTCTGTGCACCTGAAGACTTTTTTTAGATCCCTTTTCTTAGAGAAGCAAAAACCTCCCTTTGACACATCTTAGGCTTTTGTTATCCTGACCACTGATCTTTCTTTCTTTCTTTACTGTTAACAGTGAATTTCTGCTGGGAGCCACCCTTTCCCCTCTCTGGGGCAAGCCAATTAGCTCATCCACTCCCCACAATGTCAGCAATTAGTTCTAGGGTAGGAATATGTCCCAACCTGCTCCATTCAGACTGCCTCTCAGGATTTGTGGAGAAAACAACTAGGAAAAGACAGTTTCTCTTACTGTTAGATTTGAATCTGGAAGGACATTCAGCCAGAATTTCTGACAGTCACCTGCCATCCTGCCACCTCTTATACCATCCTGAGAAAGAAGTCATCAAAGCCAAAGGTGAAGCTGAAAGATGGAGAGTCACCAAGTTCTAACATCTCTGTTGAGCATCTTGTTCAAGCCATATCTGAAGCAAAGTACCCATGTTGTCATTACATGTACCAATAATGATCTCTTTTTATTTAAGCCAGTTTAAATTAGCTTTTCTGATGCTGGCAACCAAAGATTCCTGGTGCCACTTTGGCTAGGGAAAAAAAGAGGGGGAGAACAATATGATTCATTCCTCATTCATCTTCCAAACTTAGATCAGAAGAATGCAAACCACTGGGTGGTACGTTTCCCTTCACCATCCTCCCCTTTTTTTTATCCATGCTCTTTCCCACCCCTGTGGGGGGAAGCTGTCTCTCTCCATATCTCCCCCTTTCCTACATGAGCTCTTTATCCCTTTTTTATTGTTGATTTTTCTTTAATATGCCTCTGTGATTGATTTCCTCATGACCCAGATGGAAGACATGACCCAGATGAAAGACATGACCAGTCACCACCAGTAATAATCACTTGTCATTAAGCTGTTCCAGAGAGGAGAAAAGCAAACAGGTCCTGTTCATTAAGTCTTCATCTCTGGCTGTCACACACAGAGGGACTGCTGCTGAACTGAAGGAAGTAGCTTTAATTTTGGAAAAAAAGAGTCTCAGGCATGCCCATACACTTGCTAGGGACAGGGCCCTGATGGTAAACATTATAGTAGAAATGCCGTCTTCAAAATGCTCCACTGTTCTCTAAGCAATGTCCACAAATAGCCCTGAGAGCTGAGCCTATGGAGGAAATTGCTTCTCCCTTTGGGGGTCTGTATGTCCATGCTATTAAAGGCCCAGACATTTGGTGCCAAATAGACAGAGGGATCAAGCCTTAGCTCTTTCTCTTACTAATGTCAGGACCTTGGGCAAAATCCTTAATATCTTCAAGACATTTTCTCATTTTTAAACTGGAGGGAACATTAGTCCCTACTTTAAGGAGGTTGTTGTGATTGTGATCATGCATGGATTGCTCTTGGCACATAAGAGCTTGATTAACAGGAGCTGGGATGGCTGTGGTTATTGTCACCATGAATTAACCACAAGAACAACAGCGAAACCCAAAACACTACAGTCCAGCATAGCATGAGTGCAAACACAAATAGTCCCCTGTGGCTCTTTCCACATGTTTCCTACATGTCCTGATAACAGTCTGACACCACGGTTCCCAAGAAGCTCTCACCATGTGCCAGGCATGAGCTGAGAACGGGTTGACAACTTGGCCCAGTGTTAAAACTGAAAGCCTGGCATCCCTGGAACTCCTCTAGTTCTAAGCAAACCACAACCAGTCCTCAGTCTAGCAAAGAGTTTCAAGTACATTTAGTCCTCATACTGACATTCAGGAAAGCATTTGTGCTCCCATTTTACAGTTGAGAAAGTTGAGGCTTATAGGGACTTTTTTTTTTTACTTTAGTAAACATGGGAAACACTGGGAGATCTTATCCCACTGCAGACACCATTAAGTGGATGCCGGATGGAGCACTGCCAACAAACTCCCACGTGGCACCCATGTTCTGGTCCAGGGACCAAGCTTTGAGGTGCAATGTTGGAGAGGCTCAGTGGCATGCCCAAGGTCATGTGCAGTATTTGGCAGAGCAGAGGTCCAGACCTAGGGGACTGACCTCACAGAAGCCTTCAGTTATGATGCCAGGGGGCCTCTTTCTCCCAGGGAAGAGTGGGGAGTGACACAAGACAGTCTCTGTTGTCTGACATTCTCACCTCTGCATGTTTCCATCGGACCTCCAGGCTGTGACAGCCATGTGTCACAACTTGTCAGTCCTGTCGTCTTTTCGAACAACGTGCTTTCAGTAGAGACTGTGAGTCAGAATACACTGCACTCCATAGAAGGGAAGGAAGAGGGGCTACCCGGGGGTGAGCCACACTCCTCTAGGGAGAAAGCTGGAGTTACCCAGGAACCCAGCGAGTTTAGGGAGATAACCCATCATTCAGTAGGTGCCTACACCCTTCTGCTTGGGAGAAATGGTTCCACTGGGCACGAAGCCACCCCTTTCCTGCATGTAGGTCCTGCTGCTTTCAAGCTTAAGGGAGAGGCTGAGTCTCTCGGGGCCTTTGTGTTTTCATCTTTGAAGTGGACCTAATGGGACTCTGGTTACCTGGAGGGGTGCCAGGCATCAGTGACACAGGGATGAACAAGGCTCTGTGAACTTCAAAGTAGGGGACCAGTATGCCAGCTTTTTGGGTACAAATGAGCATTGCCGCTTTCTTTTTCCCTTCCTTCCCATCCATCCCTGAGGTGCTCCCAAAACACACTGTCCAGGCCTTTGTTGGGGATCTCATCACAGGTATTTTAAGTGCCTTTTTAAAATATCTGTTTCTATATGACTGGATTAATGCTAATTCATCTCTGAAGCAACAGCATCCAGTCCAGCTCCTGGTATATGAAAGAGCCCAGAACACATTAGCTCAAGGAATAAATAAGCCAAGGGAAGGAAGGAAGGAAAGAAGGAAGGAAGGGAAGGAAGGAAGGAAGGAAGGTAGGAAGGAAGGGGAAAGGAAAGGAAAGGAAAGGAAAGGAAAGGAAAGGAAAGGAAAGGAAGAAAAGAAAAAAGAAAGGAAGGAAGAAAGAAATGGATTGTAGGTATGACAAGGTGAAGGAATGAACATTGAGAGTCGCTGAGTCAGGGCACATCCATGGAGTTGGAAAGATGAAGTATAAGTGAGTGCTGCATGCATGGGAGTGTGAGGTAAAGGGAGGCAAGTCTGAATGTCTGAAGCACAGGAATCCATTGCTATCCAAACTTTCATGATTCAAAGGCCAGAAACAAATACGTAATTTTAGGGTTATTAAGCTGGCATTCCTTGCTGTCTGAATTCTTCCTATTTGCTCTCCAGACCTCAGGAACCAGACAGATTCAGAGAAAAATGCTATCCCTCTCTATCCAAACCCAGGAATGGAACAGGTTCCACCAAGAACCTGTGTGCATGCTGCTGTCAGCACTGACTCAGAGCTCCCTTGAGTACAGGACACAGTTTCCCTTCCCCAATTCTACCTCATTCCCCAGCCCTGTCTTCTGCCTTTCCCTCCCAATTACATATTCTCAGCACAAAAGCCAGATACAGAAGACCACATACTGTATGACTCCATTTACATGGCACGTCCAGAGCAGGCAAACCTACAGAGACAGAAAGGAGGTCAGTGGTTGCCAAGAGCTGGGGATGAGAGAGGAACGGAGAGTGACTGCTGATGGATATGGGGTTTCCATTTGGGGCTCTGGAAATAGACAGTGGTTGCATAACATCGTGAATGTACTTAATGCCACTGAATTGTACACTTTAATATGGTTACAGTGGTAAACCTTAAGTGTACTTTATCACAATAAAAAAGACAAAGAATAAATAAATACAGCAAGCAGGACCTACAGCTGAGGCTGGGTGCTTCATCTAGCTTCCTTTAGTCTTGCAGCTCCCTTGGTGGGATGGGTACCCTTAGGGAACCCTGGG